GACAGCGATTGTTGAATCAATTGGCTGTGATTAAGTCTAAGATGCTCATCCATACTATGATTATTGCTATCTGTACTAGGATTCATGAGTATATTTCCATTTCGATTAGCATGATTCATTGCGCTGTCTGTTTCATCCCTATTCTCAGCCTTGTTGGACAAGAAACTATTACCCGTATTGATTCGAATTGCATGGTTATCGAAAGAGACTGTATCTGCTAAGCTAGCATCATCAGCTATAGGATCTATATAAGCCTGTCTACTATCCGATTTCGAGGTTGAAAATTCTCGTCTGTCATCTAAATACATGAAGAATTTTAAGCACATTTAAAATCATCCATTTTGATAAATTTAATGAGTCTATCTTAATCAATACCGCTACCTGATGGTACAGATTCATGATCAGAGTCCGATAGGGAGTGCTTTCTTTTGCTTAGTGAGCAATGACATCGAGCACAAAGAGAACAAATTTTACTATTTCTTATTGGGCCAAGAAATCTTCGAAAGAAGGAAGATTTCTCATTCCTGGATACATCTTCATCATTTTTAGTCCCATTACTATTATTATCATCCTCAGAAGCATCTTCCAGTGAGCTTAATAACAAGGCTAAGAATAAGTTAAGTACCTAAAAATAGTGGACGATCATGGATTAATAAAGATGAAGATACTATTTGTAAACGTTATTTAGAGTAAAATTTACCAATAAATTTCCAATGACATAAGCAACGACAAAGAAAGTAATCGATGCGTAGGAATTCGTAGCTTTAACTGCATTAGATATGGGATCAGACCATTCCCCACACAAGATGCGAAAGATTAAAATAAAGGCGTCAGGCAAGGTATCGAAGTTAAATCTAGGCTGATTTTTGCCAAATTTTTTTTCATATGATTTCTTAAACAATTTCATTCCCATCACCGCGAAGATGTAGAGATAGATAAGTACCATTAGCCCAACATACATTATTGCTGTCATGCTATTGCCTAAAGCTGTCAATAATCGACGCATAGCTTCCCATGTTTTGGCTAATTTAAAGATACGAAACTGAAATAAAATAGAATAAGGGTCAAAATGCAAGAATAATGTTGCTAAAATAATTCAATCAGTCCTACCTCTATCGTAAAAGATATCTAAGTTGAATATTATCATACACGATTTATATCAGTCAAACTAATATTATGGCAAAGAGGAAGGAGACTATCATAGATAGAATACATCGTATTCAGTAAGACTTTGAACTTATTAAAATAATAATAGTAAGAAAAGCAGCTGTAATAAGTAATATCGAAAACAAAGTAGGTATAACTGCGTTTGAATTCATTCTGAAAGATTATTACAGTTGAGAGAATAGTGGATAGAACACTAATTTCAATTAAACTAGTGAGACCGAGACGGTTCCATGGATAGATAGTACCGTACTAAAAGAATACAATGAACATGATCGAAATTATATTAACTGTCAATAAGATTTAACCAAATCATTTACTATATTCCTCTTCATTTTAAGAGATTCAATCAACAGAGAGAGAGAAAGAAGTGAATATACAGAGAATTAAATTCAATAATAATTACTAATATATGGTAATTCAATAGAAATTATCCGCGTAGAATAAGAAATATCTAGAAGAAAGATAATATCTCTCATTTCAATCGATTTTAGTAGGACTAATATTGCGAAGAGAAAGAGGCAATCATATAGGGAATCATATTCAATGATAATTACTAAAACACGGTAATTCAATAGAAATTGTCCACACAAAATAAGTAGGGATATCACTCAATTCAATTGATTTTAATAAGACTAACATTGCTGAGAGAAAGATGGAATTATGGATAGAATGATATTCAACGGCAAATTACTGTAATACTATTATTATGATTGAAAATAGTTCGATATTTAGTACACTAGCGCCGAACATCTTCCACGTCCAATTCAAAATTTTCAGCCTAAACCTATTAATGTTGTAGAGTATTTAGATAGGACTATTATTCTAGCATATTCTCAAATGTAGGTATATAATATTTTTCCTAAATATAGAAATATTTGCAGTCTTACTGTAATATAGCCAAATTGAGCTTGTCATGTTTAGTAACACTTACAGACTTTGCTATTTTCTACAGAAAGTTGCTAATAGATATTCTATTATGGTATAGTTTGTATCTAATACTATAATCTTCTTCTTTGAAATGTATCCTATCTCTGAATCTATAAATACCAATGATTTCTGCCTCAGATTTCGTTAGTTGCAATAGCCACGGTGTTAGTATTTTCTCATGTTACTTCACGATAGCTTACATCCTATTCTATAGTAACTACCACATTGTATGCAATCATAGTCTACAATGAAGTATCCCTTTTCCACTAAAACCTTACTGCATTCCTCTACATGGCAACTAAATCCGCTATCGCTGACTCATTAAACCCTCCATTACAATATTATTCATTTGCTTTTAAGAAGACTAATACAGCAATAGGAAAGAATTAATCGCGAATAGGATAACACCGTAATTAAGAGCGAGGAATTAACCGGATGTTAAAACAGTACCGGGTATAGTAGTAATTTTGAATACAATATCAGAATTATCGAAACCATTTAAATCATTAGCGAAAGTAAAAGGACAGCAGATAGAAATAGAGAGAGAATCGTAGATAAAATGCCTTTACATACCACACGTAGCGTTTTAAGAGCAGATGTAGCAGGGCTACTAATCCTAGCTAAAATTAGAATAACATCGACTAGACCAGTAATTGTCATGACGCCATCTAAGATATTCCAACTATCTTTTACATAGCAACGCGGCGAAAGTGCAATCAATTTTAATATCATTTCTACAAAAAAAAGGGCGGCAAAAACCTATATTCCATTATTAAAGAAGTAGTGTTATAATCACATTTTTAACAAATTATAGCATATTGATTAGATCAGCCTCAGATGTCTTCTGTACTACATCAATTTCTTTCGGAATTGAACAAGTTAAGATTGAGATTGAACTTAGGAATTGCCAACTAGCATTACAACTTACATATTCTGCCATACTTTCCCAAAATTTTGGCTCCAAAGGATTCGATATAGCAATCACCACAAAATCGGCTAAAACGCAGCTCATAATGAAGATTTCAAACAGAACATTCTGTACAATTTTAAGTAACACTTTTCGAAATCGTTTCCAGACAGTTTTCTTCGTCGTTGGTGCAGCTCGAACGGCAACAACGCAATTTAGTGTGGTAAATTGTATCCAATGATTTCTTGCTACTAAGGTATTGCAAACAACTCTTTTTTAGCCCTATCCGTCTCGATTTTTACTACTAACTCTGTTGGTGCATAAGTAAATCACACTGTACACGGTACTCAAATCTGCGATATAGTTTTATCATATTGACTGCTCTTTTCATTGTTAACAAAAAATAAAATTGCTATTAAGGCTTTTACATAATTTTGTATTGGATAAATTTTATAAAAAATTGCTTAGATTGTCATATAATAATATACGATAATTATCTATCCGTAAATAATGCCCATTAGTTAATGATTTTAACCTAGTAAGACTTGTATAATTTGATTTATGAAGGCGACAAAATTTTTATAAAACCCAACATAGATTGCTATATAATAAAATTTAATTGTTCATCCATAAATATTGGACGGTAGTCATTTCGATCATATGATATCCTGAATTTACTACCCATCGATGGTCTATAAACATGCTTCCGATGCTGTATAAATTTTACCGTATCCGTGTATATAGTGCGATAATTTATTTCCTAAATTATTACCACCTACTAATTCAGTTATCTAGTATTAGCAGTACTAAACTCCTTCCTTAACAGAAGCCATTAACCAATGATTCTAATTAAGTAATGCATATTTATATTTATAAACGCTTTAATTTAATAACTTCTATCAAATGCATAATAACATGGATTCAGCTATAATTTTTATCCATGTGCAACTGGTGCATTCCACTAATGTCTTCAACCATATGACCATTTCATTAGCAATTTATTAATAGCCAACATTCAAATGGCTAATATTAAACAGTTCACTCATGCATTTATCCATGTTATGAGGTATGTTGATATCTAGAAATGCTCTCAGACTTACTAAATTAGCATAAAAGGGATCCTTCATATGTTATTATTTCACACTAAATGTGTAGAAATTATCATTGCCTAAATCTATAAAATTACGCTGTCACATCTTTGTAATCAGAGCTTAACAAACAAAAATTTCCAAGATTGCACTATTTTATCTGGACAGTTGTTTTGTCTTATAGTATAACAATTAGTTTCTAATAGATATTGTCATGCGTCCAGACTAATATGATGGTTAATAGTTTACCTATGTTTGATTGCATGTTAGGAACCGATAGGTGCGGCGATGCAGGTAATGGACTAGCCATAGCAGGATAGGGATTATCATAGCCATTTTCCAAGATATCACTATGGGCTACAGAGTCAAAGTTGGCTTTACTCATATTTGGAGTATGCAAGGAAGTAGACAGATTTGAATTTGCACGCCTAATTTCGCTGTCATCGATTGGCATGATATCGTCTCCATTTTCGCAGTCGTTGCCATGATTATGGAATGCTATTAATTCACGACTTATCGTTGGTTTATTTTCATCTTTATACTCACTAGGGTCTTCCTTATCTAAATGTCTACTATTAAGTGAAATACTACTCCTAATGCCAGACAGCACAATAGGAAGTATATTTTTTCGCCTGGGAGGATACCATAAATGAGGTGGACTAGGCAAAAAGTAAGGAATAGTAGTTTGGTCTCTAGATGTTCGAACCATTTTTTCAAAATTATTTTGCTAATAATGCAAGTTGAAAAAGAACTCTATTAGAAATATTGCTGTAACATTATCAGACAAATAATTAGGATAAATATAAGTTTAGATCCATTTACTATAAGAGAGAAAAGTAATTACTGAATATCTTAAAATTTTCATCAATTACGCAGTACTAAAATATACGGCACGAAAATAACTTGAAGTATCAATAAATTATTATTACTTGTTCAGAACGCAACTGTTCTTGTTTACTATATGCCATAGATACCACTGCCAATATCAAATTTAGTAGATAATCACTCCCGAGAAATATAATGGCCAAAAAGTAGAAAAAGTACCAAGTATTAGATGCTTTAAGAACCTAAAGAGAACATAAAAGAATAGTTTAAAATTTGGGACATCAATTCATGAATCAAAATACCAGTACTATCGTTTATCAATATAAAATTTTGAGTTATTAAAATTAAATTCCATGATTGTCACTGTATCTATTAATGTTTTTATTCTATAAATTATATACTGATTGATAGTCTGAATCCCACTGATCTTGAGTAATAATTTGCAAATTAACATATAAAGACGCCAAGAAGTTATCGAAATTTAGTAGGCCATCCTCAGGATTTGGGAATATTCCTTCATAACAAGAATAACCAGAAGGACATGCCCTATAAAAAGCTGAATTTATTAAATTCTTCTGATGCAGTCTTAATCTATCGCTATTTTAATCAGCATCATTTATGATTAAGAAAATAACTTACGTATTTATGCTAGAATTACTGCATAGAACCGTAGAGCCATCACTATAAAGCCAGTTAGCTATGAAATATAAATCGAATTTACTGAGTTAAAAAGATAAACCTCAATGCAATGCCATCTATTTTCAAAACATGGATTCATTCGTTAATTTTATACATTTGGTATAAATAGCTAACAAGATCTTTATGGCTTATGACACACATCAGCAAAAATCCTGTCTCACTTTTATTTTTGATAAATAAATCAAATGATAGCCCATCGACATCATAGTCTGTCTGATTCCAATTATATGTTTTACAGCACTTTCTTGTTAAAATTCCCATAAATAATTGTACGCCCAATAACGATACACCACATAGAAAGTATAATGTTAGAGAAAGGACTGTAACTAACATGCTGAATGATTGAAATATGGCATTCAGGATGCTCTTTAATCCTGTTAAGAACAGATTGAAATTATCAATATCTTACTGCAACATTGCGATGAGAAAATTGCCTTCAATATTAAGTCACAATAACTGTTAATAAAATACAATTTTAGCATAATTTATAGCCATAATTTGATTAACGTGAATAAATTTTGCGTTACAGATACATTTCGTTAAAGACCTACGCAATAATGTACAAAAATCGCTAAAAGCGTAATTATAAATCAAGATGGACTAAAGGATTTTTCTTTTTTATAAATATAGGCTGAAGGTCATACTGAACAATGTCTAACACAATGATGATATATTTAAGAAGTAAAGCGCTTATTTACATAACTGAACCTGAAATTATTGTAAACATTCGGATAGCCCTAAACACGCGAATAACAGAAACACCAGGGATTGCGTCTAACTGAGGTATGAGAATTAGATACCTATAAGGAGCATTTATGAATGAAATTCATAGTAAGTGTTCAAGATTACAGCATAACCTTGCAGTAAAATATTAAATATAGCAAGAAGTATTTCAATAACTTAATTACCATATTATATAAATATAGCTGATGTATAAAGCAGTAGTATTTATAGTACTTTGACATGTATTATAACAAGACACAAAATTAGGATATCATTTACTCGTAGAGTGAGCAAGATACTAGTAGATCAAACTAATACACTAAATAATCATGTTCAATAAAGTATACATGTTGCAATCTTAATATCATAAAATTAATGCAATATTATTCATTGACAAGAAGAGCTGAGGGGAAACTTACTTAACTATTTAAAACAGATTATCCGCGATATGATAAAATTAACAAGATATTACTGATCTGCTAATAAACCTGATTGATTATATGACTTATTCCAAACGTATATTACATTTCTAGTTATTGACAGTTTGATATTATGATACCAGAATATTACTTTTTCGTTAATAATGAAAAAATGATGGACTAGATAGTCACATTTAATCGAATCTACTATATTCTGATTTTTAATATATAAATAAGTATATATTTTGTGTGTCACAGTCGTAGAATAACTTAATACATTGTTTACGTAAGTCTTTTCGCTAAATTTGCATTTAGTTAATAAAAATACGCATACAGGCTATATATTATAGTTTAAAATAACGTTCTGTTTTAAATTCGATATAATATTTGAGGGACTTTAGGTAGCATAAAATTTATCATAAGCATATTCTTGAAATGCTATGGTAGGGTAGCTAAATTTCTTAAATTAATAGATAACACACAATATATAAGTTTGAAAATGATTGTACATCTAACGGCTTAATTTTAATTATATCTTAATAATTCAAAACATACAGTATTTATTGAGTAGTAGATATACGAATTTCTTTGCGTTGAAAAAAGATATATAAATTAACTCGTAACAAAGATGTGCTGTGCTTTACCACTCTGAGCTCAGATAAACTGCAGTATTTCGTATGCAATATACTTCGTGTCGGACTGTGGAAGAGTTACTGTACGCCAAGGAAGCAATCTTGCAAACAGTTATGTACATTTACTAGTACTATTACAGACATGTATGTGTAGTAAAGTCTTGCTAATAAGGAATAAAGTAGTTATATTAAGTTATCCAATTACTTCATTGTAATACTATGTAAGCATATTGTGTATAACATTATAGCTTTCCCATACGGATATTCTTTTCGAAATATGATAGACTTATGAGAAATTATTAAATATTCATTTACCCTATGGTAACAATAAACAAATCCAACCAATTCCATGGATCTCTTAAAAATGTGAATTTTTTAGTAACAAGTCCCCTCGCTATGATTTTTAACGCCATTTCCACAGTGTAAATAACGTTATACGTAATCCTGTCGGAAAAATAGTCCAAAAATATAATTATGTCTCTGTACCAGCTATAAATGTATATGTTGGGTAGCATTAATAAAAGTAGGATATTTATTAAAATAGACCACATAATATAAAACACGATAACATTATCTTGACGATCTCTACGCTTATTTTCTACTGTATAGCGACATAAGTGGCGACTACTATTAAACAAATCTTAAGAATAAAGCAACAAAAAACTTCACATAAACCATGCTGTAAAGTGCAATACTACTTAAATATGCATCTAAAAATTAATTGAACATCTCTTACAACAGATACTTTGGCGTATTAAACGGCAAGGCAACGACCACGCAGTTGCTTAGAATTGTCAATAAAATAAATAATTCGAAAATCGTTTAAATAGTTAAGGATTAACGAGACGGAATTAGATACCGCACCAAGTTATTACTACACATCTATCCCTACTAATTATGTTATAAAATCACTTAAAATATCTAGATAAACCGTTATCAAGTATAATGTGCGTTAGAAAATTAGTTATTACAATAAGAGTATACCATCACCTAAATAATTCATAATTTAATAACACTATCTACGGGTCAGATTTTATTAGCTAATTGTTATCGATAGATGCTATGAGGGCAATATAATAATAAAAGAATCATTTAAGCTCCATGGTGCTTTACGAAGTTTAAATTTTTCTAATTATCAGTCACTATTTTCTATATATCTAAGATAGCGATAGAGGTTTGAAACGAAAAATGAAATTGCACCTTCCAATTCGATATTCTAATGTTATGTACTACTTTTGATACACAAAAGGATATTGATGGGTCACAATCTTTATAGCGATATATCGAACGTAACTATCAGGATAAAACATGAATAAGGATTTTGAGTCATTGTAGCGGTGAATTATGTAGGTACCAAATCTTTTCGCTATCACACAAAACGTCTAAAATAAAACGAATCATAAATAGAATATTAAACTTAACAGATAACTTGTAAAAGCATTAGAGGATAAAAAAAAGGTAATTCCCTATATATCTATGTTACTATAACAAGACAATAAAATTCTTGGATATATCATGGTCAATACTTCTATCGAAGGCATTGAGTTTAGTCCGCATTAAATAATACCACGTAAAGTTATACTTATTCTCTATAAATTTGCCATATAGAGACTGTCATATGTTGTTGCAAAAAATTATAACACAATTGTAACAGATTGAAATGAGATTGTCGATAATGTTGATATGCTGACTTGAATTTATTTATTCAATTGTGCTCGCGAATTTAAGAAAGAATAAATTTAAAAGTTAATATTAGGGTTGAGTTAGAAATTAAAATGATTGATTGGCTAATTTAAGAGACTGTCTCTTCCATCAAAAGGTGTTTACGTATACGAGTTTAACGAACGCAAAGTCAAGAGTGTTTTAACTCTATGAAAACACGTCCTGGGATAAACTAATTTATATATCCGCTTACTGCACCATTATATTACAGTCTATAATAAACTAGTGCTAGATTAAGAGCATAATCGGTCTGAAAAGCGTAAATGCAAACAATTTGCTGTATTTACAACTGACATGATTTCCAAAAGACAGCTAGTGTCTTATATGAAAAACTATTATAAGCAGTATACTTCCCTTTATGCAATCGTATACTACGTTACTGCCAACTAATGCTTCGTGAGTGACTAATTATAGCTATGAAATACCGTAATTTTTACTGACGTTATAGCAAAAGGACGACAGATCTTGATTTGCTAATTAGGAGATTAAGATTATCAATATACGCTTGTATATACGTATTCTCATACAAGTGTTTCTAATAAGTGTGACAGTGTTATGTACTGTATTAGAGTAGAAATATCTATGTTAGGATAATTCATGTTAGTCTATCCTTATTTAGTTAACTTCTAATTTGGATATACTGTGTTTTAATATAGCACTGACTTTTTATGACAGTGGCACTTATACATATACTGAAATTAATAGTTATAATAGGGAATGCAAATCATCTACTTACAGTTCGAATCATTGTGATTGTAATTTACTTATGGTAGATGGCAAAGTACCTAAGGGATTCGGCATTTTGCAAAATACCTAAAGGATTTCAGGTATTTTGCAAAATGCCGGATTTCGCAAATTACCGTTGACATATATAATCTTGTGACCTGCGTGTGTAGACCGCAAATAAGGAAATACTTATATAAACGCAATAATTCAACAATAACATTATTCTCCACCCTTTCTAAGACTTCTCGCCTTGTAGCAAACTAACGTAAAGTCAGAAATAGTTATCCTGAAGGCTTCGATATATTCAGTTACAAACATTACCACTACACGATTTTTTATCTTAATATAAGTCTAAGCCGGACATATTTATAACTGCCACGCATAGCCTGGTGATAAAATACTGATACTACTATATATTTGAAGCATATCTATCTCATTTTTCTTATAGATTTATTCGTCAAGTTGACGTAATCAGGCCATATTTTAATCATTTCCAATCGCTATGAACATAGAAAATAGCCTAAAAACTATTATAATGCTCATCCGTTTCGCATATGGTACTCTATTACTTATTTTACAGTTATAATTCAAGTCTTCAAACCATAATTCTTACCCCATTTTGCATTGCATCATAGTCTTCGACGTATTTACCAACAACATGACTCTCTTCTAACTTACGATATTTAACGGCCAATTCATCAGTACTAGTAGTAGCTTCAACCTCGCTTTCGCTTTCGTCAACCTCTTCAACATCTTGTCGTTCTATTTTAGCTTTTCCACTTGCTTTAATACCAACATTAATAACACTTACTTTTCGCTGCTTCATAGCGTATCATTGGACACAGCTTCGCAATTTTAACCTTTTTTCTTTCTATTACTTGGAAATTTAGGAAATATTTGGTTACTCAAATCATGTAGACTAGATGTAGCTATCAAAATAATTTAAAGAATAACGTATTTTACTGATATTCACTAAAAAATAAAATTAGGGCTGATTAGTTTATGGGCAGAGAGTTCGAAGGTAAAATTCTTATTACCTGCTTTGGGTACAAATTCAGGTAATTGTGGTAATTGAATTTTAATGCAGGTATCATTCGGATAGGTATATTACTTACCAGATTAATTGAATTAGTCCATATAGATTGAATTAAATAGTTTACTGTATTTGAGCATATTTCTACAATTTCACGGCATGTTCTAAATATAAATAAATTACTGATTACAAGAATATGTATATCATAAATAACTTCAGCATATCGTCGAAATATTTTACATCAACTCGAGTTACTATAGCTGTCAACTATTGAAAACCGTCATCAAAGCTGAAACAGTTTCAATAATCTGCGGATCATTAGTGCTAACTTGAGCGACGACAAAGACATCTTATCATAACATCGTCTATAAAGTATATTGCTTCAACATGATAATTTGAAGATTCATAAGAACCTAACTAAATGTGATTTTTCAAAACTTTGTTTCAGTTCTATAATTTTTATTCCAAAAGAATAATTAAAATTCAAAGTAAAAGGCTAAATTCAGGTACATATTTGTTACAAATCAATATTCAGACTTTATGTCCAATACTTTTGAAAGTCTCATCATATGTTAGCATAAGTTTAACCACAGGGTATCTTTCTTTATCCTGGAATAAGCTAGGTTATGTAAAAAAATCTGTAATTAATCAGATTGTAAATTTTTATGTTAGCTGATAATTATAATGACTACTAGTATTATATCAGCAGATGTTATTTTTAATCAATTCTTTTCAAAACGATAGATTCCATTCCAAGGAATACTTAGAAACATTGCTCTGAATATTTTGCAGTATCGTTATAACATTAATAACATATGGTCTAGTGAATTGGTGAACCATGATATAATAAAAATAAAATAAATGGAAGCTTACTCATTCGAGCAATTATAAGAATCATAAGCGAAAGCATCATAGTCAAATAATACGATACGGACTGATGGAAACATCATAAAATAGAATAATCAATGAAATAAGCCACTTTTTACCGGTGTAATGTATTTTATAAAAACTGAACGCATCGAAGATTATTATAATACATGCAATTTATCGATAATTTCGGCAATATAATACAAATGTATTATTTGAGTTTCTACGCTTATAGAAATGTAACACAATATTCTATCATAAAAAGTTAGCAGAGTTTCTGCACACTAAAGTATCTCAATTCAGAAACAACTTTACTACTATTTGAAATCAACTTATAGCGTTAACCACGTTATGGTAGATTCTCGTTTGGATGTGGAGAAGGAGTAAATTTCTTTGTCAGGACGATCTTTTATGTCATTTTATGATAAAAACTGATCAATATTAGCAAAATAAATTGCTTTTATTTATTAACTTATGATAAGGGTCTCAAAAATATAACAAGAACCTAAAATTCTTTTGAACTTCAGCTTATAATTTGAATTATTTCTCTGCCAAGGTACGATAGTATTCACGCCATTCTCGAACTAGCTTACTAAATCCAATTTATTGATAACTCGTAGACTTACTTTTCATTGTCAAAATACTACAAATTATAATAAAGACCTCATCCACGAATAAATATTTGCAAACTTCTTACAAGTAAATTTCTAACAGGATCCGTTTTAAAACTGTATTACGTAAATTTATACTCCTCCAAATAATTTACAATAAATAAATAGAATTTCAACGCTTAAACTAAATTTGCGAGCAAAATATGTAATTAACATGCAAATAGCAAATGATCTAGATAAAATAAGTTCGAGGCAAAATGTTAAATATATACTCCACATTGTGCTGAGTATATATCATACAGTATCAAGTTACAGCAACTACACAGAATCAGTTACTATACAGAATAACGAAATCTAATAGTGAATTTACGAAATTATTGAGAGTAAGTGACTTTATTTTAGTAAAAATTTGTAAAGTAATTGGTATTGCATGGTATTAAAGTAATTTCATGCAGAAATTTGGCCAGTTGCAAAGTTTACCTCATTTCCTACCATATTCTTACTCAGTTCCTACCGCCACAAATTCATGGCATCTAAATGCTTGTACTTGCAATAATATCACTGGGTGTCTTTAAAAAATATGTAAAATAATTAAAACTGAACATTCAAATAGGATTAATATTAAAATAAGTGATCGCATAATGATCGTCTTAAATCTATTTATTAGACTAAAATTTTACTATTCTAAATAAATTATTGATCATTTATTAATTCTGGCATTTAATATAAAATAAATGGATAGTGATCTACTTGCAATTTTTCGTGATCTAAAAAACTATCTGTAACGATTGCAAAATAGCATGATCGTCAAAACATTAACGTTTAATCATAATTACTTTTATCGTATATAATTCACAATTATAATGGATTACATGATCATTAAGATTACTTATGCAAACTTCACATTTAGCTTACATGAATTAAATTCTGCGGGTTAATTTAAAAGAGCAAATCTCTATGATCTGGCGCCTTAATAAATCTTATTTTTATACATTTTGTTGCAAATTAAGCTAATTTCTATTGCAGCTAGCTATTTTTTCCAGCATTTACAGAGTCAGCAATGGTACTATAGCTGTAGAAAAATCACGTTACATATTTTATACAATTCCGCCTGCTTTGTCCATTAATACAAGAGTATTAGTCATGAGTAATATCCGTCCGAGAACTAACAGATATAATATATTACCAATATCAAGTGATCGGGTTTGTATTGTATGAACTGATAAAATATAAATCTTATAATGTAGACATGTAAACTAAATTAATTACAGTAACCTACATCTATGCACCAATTCTAAATCTGTTATAATGCTATAACTATATTTAGATTATAATAGTTACACGAAAGAAAGTTATTATTCTAAAACTAATATTCACTACACATAGACTTAAAGGTTACAACAATATAAGGAAAATATACAAAATTTAGTACACGCACTTTAAGGCTTATTTTTAAGGAAATCACTTTGTGGCGTTTCGCTTCCTAGGCTAATTTCCTCTCAAACTTTTTCGCTAAAGACCAAATGCGTACCATACGTATCAGTTATCAGGAAACTAAGTAACAAGTGATCAGTCCGATATTATATTATTTGTAAATAAACCACTGCAAAGGCATAGTACAATAGACTCGTTATTATTTACTAATAATATTTTTATACATACAATTACACTTTAAATTTTTACCATATATTGGATTATTACTATAGAATATTCTGAAAGAAAAATACATCAATAACATATCTACTATGAAATATACCTTGAACTTTTTCGCTGTTTCTTGCCTCCAATGTTGAAATGCAGCTCTCAATAATATAACAGATTTCGCTTCATTATAAAACACTGCTGAGGTTTTCTTAACTTGTGAATTTTGCGGTTTCCATTTAGGAAATTTGGTCTTGCATACTTCAGCAATTTTTTTCATTAATAAATCGTACTCTTCTTCAAATTCCTGACTAATTTCACCTATAACATCTTTCATTACTTTATTTAATAAAGCACGAATTAAGTCCAAACAATGAATTTTAGTGTCATCGTATATCGGTAGGTTTAAGCTAATACAAACATATGTATTTGGTATTGGTGAACCAAAAGGTGGTAGTAAATCATTCAGCAGAGGTGATAACATGTTATAATGTATAAATTGTGTGGCTTTACGATCGTATTTGGCCCATACTTCGAAAAAACCTTGAATATCTTCTTCAGTTATGTTTGCAGAATCTGCTTCTACGCAATCTTGGTAATTATTTAAGATGACCGCAATAAACAGATTGATTAAGATAAACCAAGCCATAATCATATAGGTAATAATGTATATGGTAGCCAAAACGCGGCTTCCACAATTACCAGTAGGAATAATAGTGGTCTCATTAGTAGATGGTACACAATCAGGTGGTTGAATAGAAAGAGCATCAAGAAAATCAGTCCAGCCACTTGCTGTACTGAGTTGAATAAGTATAATTGTTGCCTTTGTATAGGATTGAAAATTTAATGTATTATCAATTGTTCCTTGCTTTTTAACTCCTTTAAATAATGCTATGCCTACAATAGAGTACGTAAATGATATGACACAAAGTAAAGCTGCTATATTTAGAAGGGCAGGTGCCGACGCTATTAACGACATCAATAATCGACGCATCCCACGAGCAGACCGTAATAGACGCAGTATCCGAACAACCCGAAATATGCGCAAAATACGAATTATGAAGGGCTACT